AAAGCACTGTACCATGTTCAAGGCTATCAGCGCAGAATTGCCCGGGCTTTCAACAAGAAAGTTAAGTCCAGGAATCTAAAGGAAGGAGATTTGGTGCTCAAGGACAACCGAGCTCCCATCCACGACCCAAGGGGCAAGTTCAAACCCAATTGGACTGGTCCCACTTTTTGGTCTCCTGAAGAAAGGAAAGAAATTCCAATGGGACGGCCGATGCCAAGCTGCTTTTGAACAGATCAAGGAATACTTACAGAACCCGCCCGTGTTGTCACCACCAGAGCCGGGGAGACCGTTGATATTGTACCTTTCAGTAACTGAGACTACCAAGGGCTGCATGCTCGCGCAGGAGTCAGAAGACAAAGTGGAAAGAGCCATCTGCTATCTGAGCAAAAAGATGCTAGAGTATGAGACTCGCTACACACCGTTGGAGAAGGCTGGCTTAGCTTTGGTATGGGCTACCAGGAAGCTGCGGCACTACCTGTTAGCTCCCTCCGTAATGTTGGTTTCACGACTCGATCCCATCAAATATCTTTTCGAGAAACCGGCACTTACGGGTAGACTAGCTCATTGGTTGCTGTTGCTTTCTGAATTCGATCTGAAATATGTGACGCGCAAGTCAATCAAAGGAAGAGCAGTAGCAGAATTCTTAGCCAACCATCCAGTTGAAGGGGGCGAAGCAGTTGAGTACTTATTCCCAGATGAGGCCATTTTGCATATCGACGATGAAACTTGGACGATGTACTTTGACGGAGTGTGAAACCAGTACGGGTATGGAATAGGGGTGTTACTAATAGCACCCGACAATTCCCGTATCCCTCTAGCATTCAAACTCCGATTCAAAGTCTCGAACAACGAAGCAGAATATAAGGCATGCATTGCCGGTCTAGAAGCAGCCCTGGAACTAGGGGTAAGACGGTTGGATGTCATCGGGGACTCGAACCTTGTTGTGTCTCAAGCAAAAGGAGACTGGAAAGTCAAAGAAGAAAAGATGATGATGTATCACCGGACCTTGTACTTGTTAATTCCTCGGTTTGAGAAGCTAAATTTTGCTCATCTACTAAGAGAGAACAACAGGTTCGCAGATTCTTTAGCAACTCTATCTTCAATGATAGACATCCCGTCCGGAGTTCGGATGCATCCAGTCATCATTGACTAGAAATTGGCGCCAGCCTACGAGTCGATTGCCACCATAGATGAGGTTCAGGACGAAAACCCCTGGTATTACGACATCTGGAACTTCTTGGAGAAGGAAATGTATCCACTGGAGGCAAACACCAAGGATAAAAGGGCAATCAGAAGAATGGCCGTTCAGTTCATCATCTGCGGGGGTAAGCTGTA